GCAGACTCTCTCCGGACCTCTGCAGGCGTGTCTTGATCTGGGCCTGGTAAAGTTGGCGTCGATGTTGGTCGCCATATCTTCTGTCCAGTGCAGCGACCAAAGTTTGGTATTCCTGCTGTTGGGCTGCAGGAATAGTTTGCAACAGTTCCAGGGCAGGACCACGCAGCGCGATGACAAGTGCTGCTGCTTTCTCTTGGTCAGTCCATCCATTGGCAGCAGCCGCTGCTTCAAACTGGCGGTGGTACATCGTCCAGGTGGTTTGTCCATCGTAGGTCGGGGCCTTGAGTTTCGCAGTTCCATGAACGCCAGGTGTTCTTACTTGTGCCTTGGTCTTCTGTAGGTCCATCTCTAATTTTTCCATTTTCTGCTGAAGGCGTTTCTCAAGATCTTCTACGGCTTCTTGAAGGTGATTTTCCTGCCGTTTTTCCAGGTCTTCAAAATTCTTCTGAAGTCGAAATTTCTGATTTTCCAAAGTTCTCTTAAGACGGTCCTGATCTTCTTGTCTTTCCCTGTGACGTCGCTCCTCCACACGAATTTCCAAATTTCCTAATATTTTCTCAAGCCGGTCCTGTTCTTCTTGTTTGTCTTGTTGTCGTTGTATTTTTAAATCTTCGAAAATTTTCTCAAGCCGGTCCTGTTCTTCTTGTTTGTCTTGTTGTCGTTGAATTTTTAAATCTTCGAAAATGTTCTCAAGCCGGTCCTGTTCTTGTTGACGTCGTAGTTTTTCCTCTTCCTTTTCTCTTTCTAATCGGGCTCGCTCTTCTTCTCGTTCTTTACGGAGTCTTTCTTGTTCTTCTGCTTTCTCTTTTTCTAGTCGGGCTCGCTCTTCTTCTCGTTCTTTACGGAGTCTTTCTTGTTCTTCTGCCTTCTCTCTTCTCATATTCTCCATAAAATCGCCCAATAATTTGCTTACTTCCTCCATTTTCTTCGCTTGTTCCCTTGTACCAACCATAAAAATACTCTAATTCGGTCTAAAAATCTTCCAATCCACTTAATTTCTGCTTAAAATCCTTTTGAATCGCACTTCCGACACCAATTGTTACGAATTCCGTGGGTCCACTATTTAAACTCACGATAAAATACTTAACGAATTTATTTGTTTCACTCTGTACACACAACTTATACTATTTACAACACAACTTATGCAACTACTATTACTCTAACGGTATTTCGCGGTATTTTCAAACTTCAGACTTCAGACTTCAAACTTTAAACTTAAACTTGTCCAACTGTCAAAGCGCGGGCCTTATATACCCCCTGGCGGTTGTTTCTAGATTTTTCTAAAGAATTCTATAATTTTCTTTACTTTCTGGCGAATGCGCCAGGTTCCTCAATGCAAGCCGCGACTATCCAGCAGTACGCAGTTATGCAACCAGTAATACACCTTGACAATATGTATGTTATATTTTTTGAAAGGTAATTTTAAATTCTATTCAACGAATTAAAAATATACAGGGTGTCCCATATAAAAAATCAAATTTTCTGTTGATAATTCTTAAATTATTAATTTTAAAAAAATTATACTTAAACCATTAAATTCTACGTAAAAAGGTGCTTTGGAAATGTTTTCATAAAAATACAAAATTTTCCATAGCAAAAAAGTTACAGGGAATTGTTAAAAATGCACATTTTTGAAAAGCACCCCGTAACTCATAAACGGTAACAGATATCGACTGCGGTTTTTACCATCATGTTTTTGATAAGACTTGAACCCCAGACACCGATATTAGTTTTCGTCTATCTCCTATAGAAAAGGGTGTTTCCCTTTAAAAGCGTCCAATTTGACCCGCCCTGTACATACACGTATCATACATGTTAATCCCAATGTATATGTCGCAGGCGTATCCAATAACTCGGCATTTTGCAAAAAGACTAGGCATATTATAACACGCCGGCGTCTTTAACAAAAGAAGGATCCTAGAAAGAGCCTATCTGTTTTCAGTCGTTTTGCAAAATGCCTAATGAAGACTAGTCAGATTGCACAAAACATTTTACGCGGGATTGGTATAATTAACCTAAATTTATCCAACGATATTTTTTCTTCAACTTCTCTTCCAAAATTTGGAAATAGTGGCACAAAAAGTCATAATTGTGTTAAATAGAGTATAGTTGAAGATGATTATTATAAAGATCTAAATTCGTTTTATTCTAAAAGAAAGCAAAGTTCCATAAAGAAGCAGTCCTGTACACAGAATCGAATTACAGAGTATAATAATAATTAAATGTTTGTTAAATGTGTTTTAATATATTTTGTATTTAAAATTATATTATTTATAATCAAAATTCATGAAATAGTATTCAAGTAGTTTTCGTCTAAACATAATAAAATAATTATCGTTTTTGTATAGGAAAGTATGGGGCTTTTTTATTAAAGTGTAAATTATTCAATTCAATAGTAGACTAAACTTTGATCATTTTTTAATCTGCCTGGCCTCGATTCTCGATTTGGCATTTTGTAAAATGACGGAAAACAGGCAGTCTTTTTGCAGTAGTGTGCAGAAAATATCGTACATTGTTTAATATGCCTAATTATGATTAGACTTTTTGCAAATAAGTGACTGAAAATAGGCTTTTTGTAAATTTTCCTTCTTTTGTGAAAAAAAAACGGAGTTTTATAATATGCCTAGTCTTTTTGCAAAAAGCCAGATTGTTCTATACGCCTGCGACATAATATACAAATGCACCATAAGAAAAAAAAACGGCGTCAAAGACGGCGGTGGAATGACAATCGATAATAATTTTGACGAGGTCAAGCTTACTACCAGTTAGCTTTAAGAATTTTGTTACTTATTTTTATATTGAGTAAAATTTATTTTTAAATAGTGTAGTTTAAAATTCAACAACAAAAATAATTTAAATAATTTTTAAGTGAAACTCCATTACGCGCGCTAGGAGTAAAAATTCAACGCCTTGAGACGACACACGATAACAAAAGTGGTAAGGACAACATACGGCTTAGAAAAAATCCTCCGATTTAAATGAAATTTGCTACGTCGATAGATTGGATCAAGGCCAACTTGACCGCGAACGACACCTGTCACTGTGACAGTTAGTTTCGACGTAAGAAACGTCAAAAGTGTCCGATCGTGACCAAATTTCGTGGATAGGTCATGTGAGCGACGGTGCACACGGTTCCACCCTGTAAAGTTGTATACGACGTTTCGTTTACATCTTCATCAGGGTGGGACTAAGGATTTGATATTGAAGAAAAATGTGGGTCGATATCGGCATAATTGTGAATGACACCCTCGACGTTTATACACATAGTGCACGGACACAATTTTTTTGGGAAAGATTTGTGTGTCTCGAAACGTGTATCCTCTTCAAGTTTCTAGAGATTTTATCATCGATTGTCGTTCCCCAGCCCTCTTTGACACCGTTTTTTTTTCGATCGGACGGTATCACCAGAGAAAAAAACAGTGGAATGGTCATATTACTAGGTCAATTGTAAGATAAGTATTTAGTCCACTAAGATTTTTTGAATTTAATGTAAAACACTAATATGATTACAAATAATGAAATTTTATTTTTTTTTTCTTGCTAATCTTTATTTACCCTTTCGAGGGCTATAAATTCCTCGTAAAGCATTTTAGGGCTTATGCTCATAAAAACGTTTTGTCCTATTTTTAACTGTAGAATCAACCACCGACGTTAGGTACACAATTTTTTTGACACCCTGTGTACAGGGTGTCACACTTAAAATAGATACAAGCCAATATCTTGGTCGTTTGTTGGGCGATCTTTTTCATTTTTGGCAGGAGGCTGTATGGCTATAAGACGTACATTTTGCCCAGATTAAGAAATGCGATACCTCATAGACGTACGTTTTAATGGGGTTTGATATTTTTCGAGTCAAGAGTAAACTACCCTTAGAACAGTATTTATTTCAAACATGATAAATTATATAGAATCCTCCTTACCTAAGATAGTTAAGTTCTAATTTTTATAAATATTGATACAGGGTGTGTCATTAAAATAAGACATTTTTATTTTTTTATTATTTTTTTAAGTAAAAAGCCAGTGGATAAGTAACGCCACTGGATAAACAAATGGTTTATTATCAATAACCAATTACATCCAATTATCAATTAATAATCGATTTAAGTTTGGTCGAAGATCGTCGAAGATGTTGACTTTTAGTTCGTTATAGTTTTATAAATCTTTGTTTAGAGCATATTTTTCAAAGTTAATAGTGATTGTTTTAAATAACTATTTGGATTTTTTTAAATATTCCTCAATAAAACGAATAAAAATCATATTTCAGATTCCATTGAAAACTGGATTTTTAAATTATTTTGTAACTCATTTTATTCATTTGTATTAGCAAAGTTAAAAAACAATTTTTTAAAGTAAACAAAATAAATTGAGAATATTTAGTGTCTTTGTATCGTATCTTAATTATTATGGAAGCTATCTGAAAACTTAAATCGATTATTAATTGATAATTGGTTATAATTGGTTATTGATAATAAACCAGTTGTTTATCCAGTGGCGTCGTAAGTACTTAAAAAAATAATAATAAAAATAAAAATGTCTTATTTTAATAACACACCCTGTATCAATATTTATCAAAATTAGAACTTAAGTATGCTGGGTAAGGAAGATTCAATATAATTTATCAGACTTGAAATAAATGCTGTCCTACGGGTAGTTTACTCTTGACTCGAAAAATATCAAACCCCATTAAAACGGATGTCTATGAGGTATCGCATTTCTTACCCTGGGCAAAATGTAGGTCTTATAGCCATACAGCCTCCTGCCAAAAATGAAAAATATCGCTCAACAAACAATCAAGATATTGGCTTGTATCCATCTTAAGTGGAACACCCTGTATAAGTTTTATCGGAACGATATTAAAATTTCACACACTTTTATACATTTTTAAGTAAAATGCAACAAAAAATACAAATATTAAGTGCTTATATCAATTTCATTAGTGCTTAAATAACATAATACACCTCACACAACGAAACTAAAAGGAATATAACAAAATCAATTACCTTAAATTTCATGACATCTTCCATTTTGGCCGTTTTGCCATCGCTGACGCACGAATGGAAGAAACTAGGGGCCACGCAAACCCCTAGAGCTTCGCTGGTCATACCGGTGCTGGCTTTCTCGCTGTTCGAAGCGATCACTCGAAAAGTTCCGAAAAGCAGTACTAGAAGTCTTTGCGTGTGGCGTGGCAAAGAAGTTATTATTCTGAAATAAAATAATTTCATTAGTATCTGTGTAGGGTCTGTCCAGCCAGAGAAAACATGACTGTGACAATTACTGTTAACTGTTATTGGACAATCTTTATTTCAATACTACTTAGTATTGAATTTAGGTACTTAGTATTATATTAAGTACAATATGATCGAAAAAAAACGATATTAGAGATGGCTATGAAATGAAAATCTCTGTCATTTTTTATATGTAAAATGGAGTGTAAAATTGTATTGGGAATGTCATCAATATCAAGTCTCAAAATTAAAATAATAACGTAAAAAAATATAGATTTATAATAAAGTATCCCTATAAAAAATACAGAATTTTTAAATCTGTTAGATATTTCATTTAATAAAAACAAGTCATACAGGGTTGTTCACCACATGTTACATGGAGTATTATTGTAGCTAAACAATTAGATTTTTACAAATTGTTTTGGGTTCGTTGAAGGACTATTAGAGCTACAATTTAAAAATATTTTTACAAGATACGGTGTCCCAAATAAATAAAAAATACCAAATTGTATTTTTTATGATTAAAATAAAGGTACTATGATTAAAATAAAGGTAAATTTAGTTGTTTATCACACTTAAACCTTACCGTTTTTGAAGTATTTTCAATTTTGTGAAATTGCAGTAAACATTTTAAGGCTTCATTTCTCCAAGGGTACCTATCTAAGTTTTTAATACTAAATATTTACTGAAGTTTATTTATTGATCAGTTATTGTGATGCAATAATAAAAATAATACTACCTTATACAGAGCGTGTAAAAATTTATGTTAAATAATCTCTAGCTTTAAACAACAATAACTTGTTTAATTTAAATGGAACACCCTGTATATTTTGGGAGAATCAGATGCAAAATTTAATTGTCTATCAAATTGTATTACTCCATTTTTTACCTATCCCTTCAAGTTTTCGTAGAATATGCATTTTCTTATAATTTAAACCTCATTTATCAATATACCCATTATATATAATAATTCCAATCTATGATTCCAATATTGACATTTTAGATTGTTTTTAAAGCAACAAATTTTAAAAATGTACAGGTGCTAAAAACGATAATATTACTAGTCCATTTGTATACAAAAAGAAAACTATTTAAATCTTTATAAAAGAGTATACCATTAATTAAATATACCACCATTATTTCTGCCCATATATTAATTAGTTATATACATAATTGTGTTAGTTATAAATAATAAATTATTGTAAATAAATGTGGATTTGAACCAGAAATCAATATAATAATAAGTTATGAAAATGAACGTCTCTGTTGTTATAAATAAGCATTCATCAAAAAATTAAATAAGTTTTTAATGTGTTACTTTTTACCACACTGTCTAATACACATACAAAATCCAGTTTTTTAGTATTTAGAGGAAATATTAGTAATCAACCCAAACAGTCAATTAATGTAGTTTGAATACTGGAACCATATTAATTGGTCCTTTTTAACAAATATTTAAACAGTTTTTTTTATTTTTTAATGAAATGAACGAACTATATCGATAATATTAGTATCTGTACTCTTTAAACATTCGTTACATCTTTAAAAATAATGTAAAATGTCAATATTCCATGAGTATATTGATAAGTGAGGTCTAAATTACAAGGAAATGCATTATCTACGAAAACTTGAAGACATAGATAAAAATTGGTATAATACAATTTGATAGACAATTAAATTGTGCATCTTATTCTCTTAAAATATATAGGGTGTTCCATTTAAGTTAAACAAATTATCGCCATTTAAAGCTAGTAATTATTTATAATAAATTTTTAGACACTCTGTATAAGGTAGTATAATTTTTATTATTGCAACACAAAATTTAGTGAATAGAAAAATTTCAGTACAATATTTGGTTTTAAAAACTTAAATGCACACAGAGAAATGAAGCATTAAAATTGTTACTGTATTTTGACAAAAACGTAAATATTTCCAAAACGCGGTAAGATGCGGAAAATCTTATTTACCGCAATTAAAATTAATTTGCCTTTATTTTAATTGTAGAAATTAAAAATGTAATAATATACAGGGTGTTCCATTTAAAAAAAAATAAACTTTGATATGTTTATTTATTTGGAACATCACTCTGTATTAGGGAATGCAATCTCGCAAATGCGGGATCCCTCTGAGATTCCGCGGGATCAAAGTTGCGGGATTTACCGTGCGGGATCCGCGAGATCAACACATTACTACTGGATAACCGAATTGATCTCGATTAAGATCAAACCGCTTCGTTCCGGGCCGATGATTTGGTTAGAATTAGATTTCTTTCTGGCGTATGTGCGTAAGTAAAGAAAAGCGTTTAACTAGTACTTGTGGACAATTTCGTCAAATAAATTGCCGGACATAATTATTGGTACAAGCAAAATTTTAGGGTAAATTTAAAGTTGAATATCTCTTGAACTAAAAAAGATTTTGGGATGCGGTTTGGACCAGGTTTTAGATGAATCTATTGTGATTAAGATGCTGATGTGGTTTTCGAAAATATATTTAGCGAATTCTCGTATACAGGGTGTTTTATAAGAGTGTGAAAATTTGATCAAGAATCTTTTTTATCGCAAATTTACAATTTTTAAAAATATCGAAATTTTTACCAAGTACGACGAATCTGTATTGAAATTAGAAAAAACAATTTGATCGGTTTTTTAATTTTTTTTGTTTTAAGGAAAATACGACGTTTTTTCGAAAAATATGCATTTTTAGTCATACGTATGGCCCTAAATGGTACAAAAAGCTTTGTATGTAATATGCCAAAAAATGATTGATATAGAGTGTATCTAAAAGCAGATAACTAACACAAGTTAAAAAGAACTTCAATCAGAATATTTTTATTTCTAAAATAAGTAGAAAATTATAATAAAATTTAAGTTTATTTAATATTAAATATATTTTTTGAACACCCTGTATACAGGCTGGCGCCTCTCATACGCCGCGGAAGCTCCAAGGAGAACGGTAGTTTATATCGAAAAAAATTTTTGGCAGCATATGTAGGTTAACTGAAAGCATTTTATAAAAATATATAGAATTATACAGGGTGTCCCCAAAAAAGTAATCACATCAAAGTTGTGTTTTTTCTAATGGAACACCCTATATATTAATTGATTTTCGGATTCTAGGAAAAAAATAAAGGTGAGTTTTATTAAAGAAGCATATACCTAAAATCTAAGGATTTTGACATATTTCACATTTTGTGGAAATAATAGAGTAAATTTTAAATTTCGATAATAGCTACCTAAATTTTAGTTGACCTTGTATAGCCTGATATTTAATTACAGTAACCATTGTATGTTAAACCAAATTGAAATTTAACCCGAAAAGTTATACAGGGTGAGACAAAATTAATATGGAACATTAGTACTTTTAAAAGCAAGTTACTCCTTTATTTTAAATGGAACACCCAGTATATTTTTCCGGTGTTCAATGGAGAATTTATATATCTTCAAAAAATTATTAAGGCTACCTACCCCTCAGACAAAGATTTTCCCAGATATTTTAATTTTTATGATTTTGCGTCAGTAAATCTTTATTATTTGAAAAAATCTAGGTGGCTGTGTGATATACCTTTTATTAATTTAACAAAAATTAAAGATTGTGGAGTAAAATACTCAAGGGTAATAAAAAAATACACGTTTAAAACATATTTTAATTATTACAGAATTAAAACTAGGTATAAACCTATAATTATGCGACAAAAATTAGCTGGATGAAATCAAATGCTCAAAATGCTTCCTTTACTGTTAACTGCATAAAATGATTCTTTTCAAACGGATCTTTTCATTTTAAAAGGCATATGTGGAGTTCTACCTGACAAAGCAGCTACAATAATTTATCTCATGCTGTCGACACTAGTTGGTCGAGTTTTTTAAACACTGTCTTTAACATATCCCCATAAAAAAAAACAGACTAGATAATATCAGGAGCATTTAACTATTCTATTAATTGCACACTGCATTCACCAACTAATAGAATCATATCAATTCTCTCTGATGTAGGATAAGTTTGCATTTTTGGCAAATTCCTGAGAATTTTTTTTTGTTTTAACTGACAAAAAATTATAACTAGTTATTAAAGTTAAACTAATTAGACAGCTATGTTGAAGTAACGTAAGTCAGACATATCACAGCCACCTAGGTTTTATCAAATAATAAAGATCTACTCAGATCAAATCATGTAAATGAAAATATTGTTACGGATTCCGTGGGTCCACTAATTTAAACTCACGATAAAATACTTAACGAATTTATTTTCTCACTTTATACACAATTACTAACTTATAACACACAACAACTAACTATTTATAAGATTCCTTCACCAAATTGTCCGATTTTCAATTTCCACGCGGTATATTCAAATTTCAAAACTCTCTCCGTTGTCGATGGCTCCGGCTTATATACTCTATTGACTGCTTCTCGAAATTTCCCCAATTCTCGGAAAGCGTACTTCTTCATACCAGACAATTCCATTGTCTGATTCCTTACTTCTCGACTTGACTAAAAGATGGCGCCTGAAAAAGTCTTTTAATTTCTGGCGGATACGTTGCGGTTGTGCAGGAAACCAGTAATACATTTTTAATTTCTGGCGGATACGCCATTTTTCTTGACATTGCCCCCTTTCTCAAATTTGATCGTCCCGATCAAGGTTTCCTGTCTGATATCTCTTCAATCGATCCAGATGAACTACTTTCATCTTACTTCTAGGGCTGCGCTGAATCCGGTACACAACATCATTTATCCTCTTGATGACTGTATAAGGACCTTCCCATGCTGGAGTTAACTTTGGGGACCTTCCTTTCTTGCGCTGTGGGTTATACAACCATACCCTATCGTGCTGTTGAAATCCCGTAGAATTAGCTCTGAGGTCGTAACGAGCTTTCATCCGGTCACTGGCTAGCGCAATCTTACTTCTAGCGGCCTTATGAATGTCCAATAATCTTTCCTTCCTAGCGATTCTTTCGAACGACAGTCCAACGCTATCCTG